GTACTATTGGCTTTAAATATAAAAGGCGATTTTTGTTGATGGCACAGTATAAATAATAGTATATACTACGTAATGATAGTAAATGGTTATTGGCTACTGAAGTCTGAACACCTGCAACCAACTTCAAAGAATGAAGGCTGGAAATGCGTTGTAACCCTCTGAAGACTACGATGGAATGCCTCACAGCTCACATGGTGTATTTATACTGGATAACCCTTGGCTGTACCCTTCTTTAAACTATTGAAATATCGCAATAATAAGGAATAATAGTAATAATAATATATGTATTAGTATTAATATACTTTATCTTGTCTATCATTTCCTTTTTTATATATTACTAGCTGACCAGGCAGACGCTGTTCTGCCCTTTCCGACGACCCTGTGTCCTAAAAAAATCATTAAATTCACAATAAAAAAAATTGAGGGTCACTTATCGGGATAAATACTATCCTATCTCTCAAGTTGGACCAAACTGCACACATTGTGAAATATTTCATTGAAATCAGTTCAGTAGTTTAGGAGTTCATCGCGGACAAAAAACGTGACACGTAATTTGTATATATAAAGATATACTAGTGATCGGCCCCGGCTCCGCACGGCTGATTACTAGATATCGACAACAGCGCCACCTACTCGTTTCAATTGTGAACCTAAGCCATCCAGGGACCTATTTAAATACTCACAAAAAATTTCATCGAAATCAGTCGAGCCGTTTTTAAGTTTTAGCGTGACTCAGACTGCAATTGATTTTTATATACCTACATACCACATATAAGTCCCAACTATATGACTATATTTAATAGTCCCAACCAGACGAGAATACTACAAAATATCTTATGAATAATTCAATATATTTCGGTATAACAATGAAAAATGTTTATTGTTCTTAGAAAACTGAGTTATTCTTAGAAATAGTACAATATGTACAAAGGTATGGACGCAATCTGGTCATTTAAGGGTACGGCTCGAGTGCGAGCGTTTTTTAAATTTATTTTATATAATTATTATATGTCAAATCATTATTTTTCACTTCTTCTCTTACCTTAAACATTCAAGACTCTCATATAATTATATAACAAGTATTTTATTAGTTAATGATTATAAATATCAATATAATTTTCAAGATTTAGATGTAAGAAAAAACATACAATTCTAATGAGACCAGACTTATTGCTGTCACGAATTTTACGCGTTTTCATCAGCCCGTAAAAGGCCACTATTAGGCATAGGTCTCTCCCGTTAAAGTTAAAGTTACAGCCTATATATATCCCACTGCTGGGCAGAGGCCTCCTCTCATTTCTGACAGGGTTTTAGGGCAAGGAAATGTCCGCCGCGCTGTCTTTCAAAATATATTCTTCTTATTTCTCAGACATTCGGGTTTCCTCCAGGGAGGATAATATGGCTTTCCAGAGGTTTCGCGCTTTTGACGCTTCCTCCTGTCGCCGGCCTGGGTATATTGCGGCATTTTCGAATTGATTTTCCTTATAACCTAGTTCTACTCTTACACCGTTACCGTTACAGCCTGTGGTAGTTGCAATTAAAGACCTTTTCCTTGTTAACTATTTTAATCAATATAATCAAGACAATGATAAGTTAAAAACAGTTACTAATTATAATATTTCTCTTCATGTCTATCAAAACATTTTGCCGTTACTTTTTCATTTTAAAACATCATGGATCAAAGTCAGAATAAAATGTTATAAGTATATATAGTTGCCAGTATATTTTCTCTGACTAATAACCTACTTGAATTTATAACACAGCCTACTAAAATCCACTGCTGAACACAGGTCTCACATAGATTTTCTCATAGGGGTAATATTAGTCACAGTTGCTCCGCTTGGCATGCAGACTACTATTATGAACACGCTGCTGCCCATCTCCTGAATTGTTTCTCTCTGTCGTCTTTTACGAGATAGTGGATATTTTTACACCGCCACTACATATCAATGAATTACTAGAAATTAATTAAACACCCGATCGATGCCGATTATGGCTATTTATACGCTACCGCTTTTACTGTAGCTGCACATCAACTGATAAGCCCTTTTACTGCGTGATAAAACGAAATAGAGATAAGATACAAAACATTCGCGTCAGCCATTTTGTGTTCAGGTGTTTTAAAGGGAGAATCAGTGGTCGGCTGAAATTTTTCGTGCTGATTTTATTTTTGTTTTAATTAATGTGTTCGAAGGTGCTTAAAGTGTAAAGATAAGAAGTGAAAAAGTGAAAAACATTAAGAGAAATTTTATCAAGCAACACGACGCTTGTTGTATTTGCGTGTGTGTGTGAGCTGTGTTATCATATTGCAGTAATTAATTAAGGAGTGGTTTGAGGGCATTCCGTTGAATACTAAGTACTTGTTGATCTTTGTATGTTGCTATAGATATTGTATTATTTTTCATAAGGTAGGTTTCTTTTCTTAACATTTAAGATAGATCATAGAATTATTAATTCTATGTTTAAGATCATTTAAGATAATTTTATAAAATATACTGTCAGATCAATAAATGACAAATATATTTTTTATTAGAATAATACGATACACATAAGCCGTATTTTGGCTGTACCGTGGTTGTCGTAAGAGGCGATTATGGGACAGGCCAAAAAGGCTCATGAACTCGGATAGATGACGAAATAATATCTTGTATGCAACAAGTACAATGTCCAGGTTTTATTTAGTATAGTATTGTATTAGAAAAAAAAGTTTCCTATGCTTTGCATAGAGTTTTCATGATCATCATCATCATTGTAGCCCTTCACACGTCCAATTCTGAACAAAGGCCTCACTCAAAAAATGCCACGGTCTGAGCCTCCTGCGTCATTGCCTTCCTGCAATTTTTATATAGATTTCAAATTACCTACATAAAGTTCTCGAAAAGTAAAACATTTAAAAGCGATCTGGATTCATTAATTGGCACATTAATTAGTGGCATCATTTATTTGTACTTCTGGCAAATAAAGAATTTACTTAATTATTTATATATTTTCTACCGACTTCAAAAAGGAGACGGTAGTCAATTCGACTGTATGTTTTTTTATGTGTGTTACTTCATAACTTTTTATTGGGTAACCGATTTCGATGACTTTTTTTATTTGAAAGCTAGTGCTTCACATGTGGTCCCATATAAATTTGATCAAGGTCTGACCAATAGTTTTTGAGTTATTCTTATAAAATTATATTGAAGTCGGTTGTACAAAATTTTTAATTTTAAATTATGTCACCTTTTATTATTATTTTTAATGTGTATTGTTTAATGTGACGTCGTAAAAGAATCCAGCAGGCCTATCTCATCTCGTGAGTGCCGTAAGAGACGACTCAGGAAATGCCAGAAAGACCACAGCGCGACGGGCGGGCGTTAATACCATTCTATATTGTAACCAAATAGAAAATATGTGGAATTGCGATCTCCAATCAAGTTGCCAAGTGTGGCGATTACAGCAAATTGGATAGAACTATAGGAGAGGTCTATGCCCTAAAGTCAAGTATTACGGACTGATGAGGATACGGATGAGGGAACGTGGGTCTTCAAGGAAAGAAGACTTTTTCCAAGCAAACTATAGAGCTATTTACTATCCAATGCTACATCGCCACTCACCACTTACGTGGTGGCAGTAGGTGGGAAAGCAGCCAAGCTAACTACGACTACTAGACCAACGAAAGCGCAACTTCTGATCCCGATTTCGAATCTCGGGTCGGCCCAAATGGTTGATCCTGCGCCTGATCTCTCTCCGGTCGTGTGGAATTACCGTCCCATCGGACTATGAGAGTGAGGGAATAAAGAGTGAACCTGTGCTTGCGCATACACTTGGGCACTAAAATCCAGTCCTGCGCAGATGGCTAGTATGCGTTGAGACTTGCCGCTGTAACTGAAATTCGGTCGGGATAACATAAGCAGTTAAACACTACCTTAAAAAAAATAAAATGAAACAATGTTTAATAGGCCCTAGGTGGCCTCTCTTCCGATAAAACTCAGGGTTAACCACACCGCAAAATAGGGTATCTACTAATTAATTTAGTACTCCGTTGTATGACGTACTTCAAAAATCATTAACCATTGATTTCGAATAAGCCTCAACTATAGACAATATTGCAAATAAACACACCGGTGCAATTCATTAGCATCGACATTGCATCTTTATACAACTTGACCACAAAGCGCCAATTTATTTTTCACAATACTCATAAAGTAATATGCATCTATTGTACACGAAACTGATGAAAATATTCTGATTCACAGAAGCTTTGGTCTATAGGTACCTACGTGGTAGAGACATGTTGCAACTATAGATATAGTTGTAGCACGAAGGGGTCTGCTCGACCGGGGAATGACCATGCTCTCACCGAATACCAGAGTAAAATAGCAGCTTAATGCTGTTGTGTTTCGTATGGTGAGTGTAGAGAACCGGAGACCTGTTGTACTGGAAACGAGGCATTCCATCTTAGCCTTCAGAGTATACAACGCATCGGCATTTTAATTATTAATTGGGTAAATCAGGTGGACTGTGTTTATCACCCTTATTTTATAAAAAAAATCTAAGAGCATAATATACTCTGCGTCTTTACTATTTAGTGATAAACAAATAAAATTTTAGGACTTTTAAAAAAAATAATTAGGAATCTGTCCGTAAATAGGTACAGTTCACTACTATAAAATTGACAGTACTAGAGAGTGACTGCAGTACGTAGGCAAACGCTTCGCACATTTAAAGCCAGATGGGGGAGATAAGTCTATCTTACAATATAGTAAGATAGACTTATCTCCTCCTATATATATTTTTTATAGCTTACTACTGAAGTTTAAAATTACTTATCTCTAGACTTTTTTATTGGTCCGAGATCTATCGATTTCTTTAAATAACAAAAAGTAAATTAGGTACGTTGTTAAACATAAAATCATGTTAGATAACCTAGAATTCAGGTCCAAATATTATACAGATTACTTATCTACACACACTGCGCTGTTTGTCTTCGATAAAATTATGATTTTACAGACAAAATGGATTGGCGACTCATATCCTGCCTGGTATCCGTAATTCTCATAAATGGCGTGAGCTCGACAAATGGTAAGTAGTGCCATCTATTGCAATTTTAAACGTTATAGCTACTAGTATATATTCTAAATAATATATGCGATATAATTTTTTGTTGCAACAACTATGTAAGAAAAAATTGTAATAATACTACTACCTTCTAAAACTTCCATACTAAGCATTAACCTACTTTGCATTAACTTTTTGATAATATTTTTTGTTTTTTAATATTATACTACTTCCGCCCTCTATCAACGAGTAGCGTCATTAGTAATTCTTTTTTTAGAAACCACTCCGGCGACTACTCCGACATCTAACGACATTGTGAAAGAAACTGGAATCTGCAGAAAATGTATTTGCAAAGAAAACAAAGTGGATTGCTTCGATCAAAGCATTACAGATTTTTTCTCGGTAGATGAGTGGAACGGTAAGTTAATTTAATAATACATTTGTAACATTGTTATTGACATTCTGTGTCGATGGCTCGATGGTAACATCATCCCGCGTAGTCCCGTGGGTGTCATGTTGTGTAGATGCCAGAAAGATCTTATATATTCCGATAGATAGCGGTATAAACATTTCGTTTACTTTAGGTATGAAGGTTGGGTATAAAGTAAGTCACAGACTACGCATATACGCTAATATTTTATCTGCGTATAAAAACTTAATTATCTGAAACTATTACACACTACGCAGATACGGTCACTCGAAACTCGAAATCCTTCAAGCTTACCAGACGTGATTTTTGAAGCGATTTATTTACACATAGTGTTACCAACAATGACTTGGCATAGGTATACTTATTGCTTCTAGATTTGCTAGATAGCTCGTCTGAATAGGATTCAGATTTTCATTTTAATGCACGTGTTGCATTAGCATTTACTACAAGGCGAAGAATTTAAATAGAACGTCATATAAAGCGAGGCTAATTATCAACCTGTATTTATCGGCAGATAAAATCCTATGCCATATTATTTGTATCTGCAAATGTTATCTGCAGATATATTTGTATGAGCAGATAATATTGTCACCCTATTGCAATACAGGTCGGTGCTTACAGATACTTAACGATAAAAAATAAATTATCTGCGCTGTGTGTGTTAGTTCATTAAATTTCATAGAGAGCGATATTGAATGATATGCGCTCAGACCTCAAATACAGATATCTTATAGTATCTGCGTAGTGTGTGACTCGCTTTAAAATACCTACCTAGAATAACGACAGGAATCATCTCCGGTCTCCGGTTCTCTACACTCACCATACGAAACACAGTAGTACGAGCACTGATGGTAAGTGACCATAGACCATGGACATCTACATCTATCTTCACTTAAGAATCAAGATGCGTTGTCACCCCTGAGGACTAAGATGGAATGTGGTAGATCCATGCTGCTGCTCTATTGTGGTAGCAGCACGAGTGGGTCGGCTAGACCTTGAGGACCACGCTCTGACAGAATATCAGAGCAAAATAGCAGCTCAATGTTGCTGTGTTTCGTATGGTGAGTGTAGAGAACCGGAGATCCTTTTAACTGGAAACGACGCATTCTATCTCAGTCTTCAGGGATGACAACGCATCTGCATTTTGATTCTTAATTAAGGATAAATGTAGATGTCTGTGGGCGACAGCATCACCTTACATCATGTGGACTGTGTGCTTGTTTGTCACCCTTATTCTATAAAAAAAAAAAACAATCAACAATATGCTTTTATAATAATATTTTGCACTAGCTATGCTTTTATCCCTAGTAATATCTTAACATTTTACGTAACCTAATACTTACAGATCTGAAAGTGCTAAAGCCAACTACAGTGGACCTAAGCGAAAACCTTATCGTTAATGTGACTGCAATCGGTGACCTTCCCATTCAAGTGCTCAATTTGTCGCGATGCTCTATCGAGAATATAGAGAACGCTAGTTTCAGAGACCTCCAGGAGATGGTAGTTTTGGACCTTAGTCACAACAAGTTGACTTCTGATAAACTGAGTCCGCATGCCTTTGAGGTAATAAACTAGTAATACTAATGATCTTAGCTGTCGGTGGCAGCAGGGGAATTAGCCCAAACAAATAGCATCTGGTTATCAGATCAGTCATTCCGTATATAAAAAAAATTCTCTATCTGTGTCTGGGAAATTCTACTATTTAAGGTTCATAAGTTTGGGACGTGAGGTCATAATAGTACACCCTTAAGAAACCAAGATAGTTATTGCCGCTTATTGTGGCGTGTAATGGCAACTTTAGGTGTCATGAGAGGTGACAAAGGGAAACTGAAACAAAAGATGGGCAGCAGCTGTTCCTGAAAACAACTCAATAATAATAAAAAAATATTAGATATAGATATGTTTTCAGACAATGTTAGCCAATTTCTAGTGAATGTCGAAAAGCACATCCAGTAACTCAAAACAAACATTCATCCTTAATGATAATAAAAATTAAATAACCATACTTAATATAACTTTATTCTATAGTTTTACTTTAAATAAAATGTTTTTTCTTCTAACAAAACTTAAATCTCACACATCAATTTTTATTATTGTTTTAAATAAAATAATTGCGTAAATGTTAAAGTGTTGTACTCACCTATAATTTAAGTAGTACATATATATAATGATATAACAAAATGTAGCCGAAATGTTTTCACATGAACTTAGTTGGTAACCTGGAGGTAACCTGCGAAAAGGACTATTTTCAGCGTTGGACTTGTGAACTTGTAGACTGTTGTAAATTTTTTGAAGCGACAGTAGCCTAATGGCAGGATGCGGACCGCGAACTCAAAAGGTCGTGGGTTTGAATCCGCCATTCGACTACTAACGTAAACCACTCCTAACACAACCATTTTAAGCTTACGAGGAGTGGTTAAAGGGAATATTAGTAAAGTTAATAGCATTTCTAGTATTTTTTTTTTTTATAAAAAACTTATGATTGAATGAAATGAAATATCGATTTTAAGGTGGCACAAGTCGCGGGCTCGAACTCGCTGGTGGGCGCGGCCAAAAAGCACGCTGTCTCACCTGGCATCGTGCCCGACAGAGATAGTATCAGTGATGAGCATATCGACACTAGTATTCACGCATGTCTTGTTCGTACGGTGTTCCGAACCGTTAGAATAAAAACGAAGTTACACGAACACGATGCAACATCTATACTAATATAATAAAGCAGAAGAGGGTTTTTGTTTGTTTAAACGTGCTAATCTCTGGAACTACCAGTCCGATTTGAAAAATCTTTTTTTGGATATTATAGCCAGATTCATGTTGAATAGTATAGGCTATACAGCATTAGGCTATATATAGGAAGTCAGAAGAAAAAGCGCTGTTATGGTTCGGGATACGTAAATACAATGTTCTAGAAAAATATAGATCTTTACTCCGTCTAAAAAAAGTCCGCGATACCATATGTCTATTTCTTATATATAAGCCACAATTAGGCATTTTGTGACAAAAAAATGAAAATTTAATTATTAGGCACCTTACGAACCAAAGTTACTTCATTATCAAGACAATTTTATGAAGATAAACTTCGTTCTTTATACCATGTTTATATAGTACATAGTTTAAGAAATAATGTAAAATTAAAATAATTCAATACCTACTTGGCTTGACGCGCAAACAACGCATAACCCCTAGCCCGGTGCGAACTGAGAAGCCAGTATTGAAAGCTTCTATGAGCGCGGTTAGGTTAGCCGTTAGTTCAATCGTTATCTATATATACACAAATAAATAAAATTGAAGTGTCTGTTATAATGTCAAAATAACAGCTTTTTACTAATTGCGTATGAAACTGTATACGGTACTTATAACATTAACACAATTTTTAACATTTTTGTATGTCTGTCAGTCTGTTTGTTGCGGTTAATTTCCAAAACGGCTGGACCGACTTGGGCGGGACTTTCACTATTAGATAGCTCATGTTATAAGAAGTAACTTAGCCTGCTTAAATTTTAGAAAAATTATTAGGTGTCTTTGCAACAATATTAACGCCCTAAACTAAACGCGGACGAAGTCGCGGGGTACAGCTAGTAGCTAAAATAAATTCAAAATTAATTGAGTACTTTTATCTATCTCCCGGGTGACCGTATGAATGATTAGTTACATCTTTATTTCTGAACTCTTTAATTTCACGTTGCTATGGTATTTTGAAAGTTTAAATTTAATTAATTAATAAGTATAAGAGGTTGATAGCAAATTTATCAAGAATCATTTCTTGCCAACACACTTTTCATGAATCGTGTACGTTTTTCTTTAAAACTGGAAAAAACCGCGCATAATATGCCGACAGATAAAATAAAAGTACTCCATTAATCATGACAATTTTTCCATATATTACAATCAAATAAAATATTTGATTGCAATTATAAAATGCTGGAACTAGGTGTCATGTCATGCCACGCATCTCGGACACGTGATGACGCGGGTGAATCCACGAAATTATTAGGTATACGTCTGTGGCTCTATATACCTAATATAGATTGCTTATTTTATTATGTTTAGTTTTCCCCGAGTGGTCATGCAGCAATCACTCAAGAGTTCGGCTTCGAACGTGTGTAACTCGATAATTATCCCACGGCAACGAAATATCTGAATAAACGGTATCATATATGATATTTGGCAGCTCCGTGGCGCAGTGGCTTAGCAATGAATTGTTGTACTGGGAGCCGCGGGTTCGAATCAATCGAACAAGTATTTGTATGGTCTACAAATAATTGTTCCGGGTCTGGATGTTTGTAAACTGCCTCCACGATACAGGAGAAAATCCTAGTGTGGGGTAAAGTTTTTTTGAAAAAAAAATTTCGGACTATAGCCTATCTCTGAGCAAAATATCATCCAGATCCCTTCAGCCGTTCTGGCGTGATTGAGTAACATACATCCATTCATCCGTCCATCCAAATATCCCAACTTTCGCATTTATAATATTTAGATAATAATCGTAATTGGTCTGCCTACCTATAAATTGTTTTCAAAAATACTTACTTACCTGGCTTCTTATTTTTTTATATATACTCAATATCACTAAACGTAAACACAGGTTTTTATCAAGACAAGTGACCCATCAAGATTGTTTTCTTAGTACCGACGTACCTACCTAAAGTTTACAATTTTGTGGCCACGACGCGGCGAGGTTTTGTGACATTTTGTTGTATTGTTGATTGTAGGTATCTAGGTAATAACAGTAGGTACCTATGAAAATCCCACATAATATACTTTGTTTATCCGCCGCAAAAGTCGTCTAATAAATAATTAAACTGTTTTGTAATTCTTTATTTATTTATAACACTTGCATTGAGAGCCGTGGTAGCTCAGATGGTTAGCGCTCGCTGTAAGTATCACATTACGCGAGCAACCCGGGTTCGATCCCCGTCGGCACCAATGAAATTGTTGCAATTTTATATAGTAATCGAATATAGACTTTACTTTTTTTACTTTTATAATTATATTATATTACAGACGAAAATTTTAAAATATTGTCTGTCGTCCAAAACGCATCATCTCTTTCAATTATATCAATTTCCATGCCGTCTTTTGTCTTTGGCGTCCAAATTACAAAATAGCAAAACTTTTCGTTTCGAATAAAACTCGAATACTTATAAGCGCGCGTCACCGCCTGTGCATGTGTGTGTAAGCATCGTCCTCCCGCACCGCACCGGGGGAGACATTATTCAGTGAGATGCACGATAATTCATAGTAATATGCGCGCGTAAAAAAATACGAAAAGGCCTTTGGAAGAAGGGGTTTTATGAAAAAACCACTGCATTAATCAATTACAAATAAAATTTATTGAGTTCTTCGATAATTTACCTGTGTCGGTACCGACTTTGTTTTGGAAATTTTACACTTCTTTTATTACTAATTTACGCCCAAAGTTGTGTTAAAATTGGCAATAAAAACGAATCTTTGGTAGCTCGTAACTTTTTAATAACATTTTATTTTACTATTCTGTTTCCGTACAGACAAATTTAATAATGAGACAAAACGATATCATGTTTAATTTTGGATGTACACTGTCAAACAGCGGAGTAAAACCCCTCCGAAATTTCTATGGAAATAATGTCGACTAGTGTCACCTTAAGAAACTAATTCAAAGGCAAAACCTATTAATATCTAAAAAAAGTCACGTTTCTATCAGGCGAAATGGGTGATGGGTTCTCTTCTAACACTACGTACATCACCATACGTTTTATTACTTTTTTTTCATTAATATCACCCAAACCTAGTGCAAATAAACCTAAAAGTAATTACAAATATTATACCTAATTTAATTGTAAAGCATATAATTTTTATTTATCAATTTGCGTAAAATCCGTAATTATATTTAAAATTTCATATCACTGTCACCACCAATTTTAATATAAAATTAACCTATTAATGCCTTTCTTATGGTCGCATATTTGATGTAATCTATTTCATTTTTATTTTCATTTTTTACATTCGTCATCATCATCAAAAATATAATGTGCATTTGTAATAAAATCTTATATATTATTTTCCAGGGTCGCTTTTCTCCAGAAGAGTACGAGCCGCTAGCAGCCATGAGGAAATTAAACTTGGCTTACAACGACCTGCATTCTCTCCACCAGGATCTGTTCGAGCATTTACCCGAACTGACCGAGTTGGATTTGAGCGGAAATCCCCTCACCACCATTGACCATGTCACTCTCATAGCTATATCCAGTTTGCCAATGTTGAAGGTAATTTAAATCATGTAAAGCATGTTGTAATATTAATCGATGAGACATTCTATAAAAAATTAATAATCTTCGTTAAATTCCGATGGTGGCGCTATTGTAGTTGATAAAATTACTGTGCTAAACAGTGAGACGTATACATAGGTTGTAATTTGGTTGTAAATTTACTTTTCTACTGTCGCTATCTAAGGAGAGTTAGTGATTTCCTCCGTTATTATATAACATTTAATTGTATACCAGGTGCTCCGCATGCGTTCCTGTCAATTAACGGAGATACCGGACAAGTTCCTCCACACGCCACGTTATTTAGAGCGTTTGGACATCAGCGACAACAAGCTTACTGCCGTCCCCCAAGAGCTCGAGGAGACTAAGAACCTCGTTTACTTAAACCTCAACCAGAACCCCATCGTCGAGCTGGACATGTCGTCTGAGGATTACCCGTAAGTAATGCTGAAATGTACTGGTGCTGAAAATGTTAAGAACATTAAATTCATAAATATTCCCATTGCATAGAGCTGAGCCACCATTGTTATACAAGATGTTAGAAATCTGGAATAATAATTTAAAAAGAAAGAAAGAAAGTACATGTTGTACGTATGTCCGACATGCGTTGCACCGTAGATAATACACTATATAGGGCCCGTTGCACTACTTTTTTGTCAAAAACATTCGCAGTTGTGCGCAAAACAACTCATTAATACACTATATAGGGCACGTTGCACTACTTTTTTGTCAAAAACATTCGCAGTTGTGCGCAAAACAACTCATTAATACACTATATAGGGCACGTTGCACTACTTTTTTGTCAAAAACATTCGCAGTTGTGCGCAAAACAACTCATTAATACACTATATAGGGCACGTTGCACTACTTTTTTGTCAAAAACATTCGCAGTTGTGCGCAAAACAACTCATTAATACACTATATAGGGCACGTTGCACTACTTTTTTGTCAAAAACATTCGCAGTTGTGCGCAAAACAACTCATTAATACACTATATAGGGCACGTTGCACTACTTTTTTGTCAAAAACATTCGCAGTTGTGCGCAAAACAACTCATTAATACACTATATAGGGCACGTTGCACTACTTTTTTGTCAAAAACATTCGCAGTTGTGCGCAAAACAACTCATTAATACACTATATAGGGCACGTTGCACTACTTTTTTGTCAAAAACATTCGCAGTTGTGCGCAAAACAACTCATTAATACACTATATAGGGCACGTTGCACTACTTTTTTGTCAAAAACATTCGCAGTTGTGCGCAAAACAACTCATTAAAGTTTCTTCGTAATCGGATGGCAGTTATAGGTACGCATAAAAGACGGACAAAGAAACATTTGATGTTCTATATTATAGATATTGGTGTTTTATTAAATCTGTGTAAGGTAGCGTATATTTGATTAGCGTTAATGATTATGAATTTTTGTCTTATTGAACCTATGTAATATATAATGTATAATACCTATATATGTAATTTTCTTTTGCAATGATTAGATATTATATTCGATATCTTTTTCAGTTAATTCATGAACTGAGAATGACTGCAGTGTTGGTTTAGCGGTCGTAAACGCTATCGCTGGTCATGTGATTCCGGGCTCGCATCTCTGATCGGGCTAAAATCAATAATTAGGATTTCTGTCAATAAATTCTCAAAAGCAGGCCGGATTCAGGAATTTGACAGTGTTTTATATATGTATACATAAATATATACGTGGTAGAGCCGTGCTGCAGCTATGTCAGTAGTATAGTTGTAGCACGAATGGGTCGGCTCGACCGGGGAAGGACCACGCTCTCACAGAATACCAGCGTAAAATAGCAGCTTAACACTGCTGTGTTTCGTGTGGTGAGTGTAGAGGAAGTGAGAACATTTTTACTGGAAAAGAGGCATTCCATTTTAGTCCTCACGGTTGACAACGCATCTGCATTTTGATTCGCAAACGAGGATAAATGTAGATGTCTATGGGCCACAGCAACCACTTACCATCAGGTGGACTGTGTGCTCGTTTGTCACCCTATCCTATGAAAAAAATTGAAAATGGATAGCCATACGGACACGGAAAAATTATTTTTAGTCACATATACACATAAATTATGATCGTGTGCTGGATTTAATCCGCGGCTACGTACAGCCGCACCCAATGTCACAGCCACGCTTCCGAGCTGTTAAGATAGTCATATACCAACAGTCAGTCGTCCCTTAAGACACTCACGCGTGATATAGTGGTTTCTTTTCGCCCCCACCATACGGTATCGCTGCAACCTCTCGGCACATTGTGTGTTAGGATTAATTATTATGTACTTGCATGAAAAATATGTCTTTTCCAGAGGTTTCCCGCGTCTTCGCAAGCTGAGAGAGTTGCACATGTGCAACATGAAGTCGTTGCGAAGTATCGGAGCTGGCGCACTCGCTGGTCTGGAGAACTTAGAGAGTCTGCACCTGAGCTTTAACCCAAAGCTCTCAAATCTTGACCCTAAAGCTATGGCCAGACCAGACGACATTGGAGAAACCTATGACTGGCCTGCATTAAAAGAGGTAAAGATTGTGCACTAAAATGTAACTGAAATATACTCCTAGACGAATTTAGAGGAACGCAAGAATAAAGTTTATTTCTTTGGACTTTGTTGATTATTCGTTAATTTAAAATTGCAAAGGTCCAAAAAGAAACGATCAAATGACAAAGATGAACCAAATTAAGAAAAAAACATTCATAAAAACAAATCTCTCTGCTCTAAAAAGGTCAAATGGCACTATAATTCTTCCAAAATTGCATTTACATATTATCATGTCACTGTTAGTGACCCATTCTCAATGACGCGGAGTTCCGTACGTGCCCTCATACAAATATCCCCCCATACCATAACTGTTATATGAGCGTTTTCATTGATATTGCACTGAGCGTATTGCTCTTCTAAATGTTTCACAATGGATCCTTCCATCATCTGGCTTTAGGCAAAATCTGCACTCATCTGTGAACAGACTGTGACTACAAGCTTCGTCATTCCAATTTTTGTGACTGCGAGTAAAATTAACTCGAGCTACTCGATGGCATGTGGCAAGAAGGTGACGTCTAGCAGGCAAGTGTGAATTTATTACGGCGCGTTTTCAGTTTTTCTTCACAGTTTTCGTGCTTACTCAAAAAATAATAAGAATTCAAATATTTGAACACTATAGAAGAACCGAAGACATATATGTACAAGAAGATACCAATACAGTGAGGAAACCTATATGCGTGGCATGTCTATAATCCTATATTTCATTAGGTACTATACAAACTGGCGAATTGCCGGTGATTTGGTTCAGCAGTGAATGTCAGAAAAAACTTAGAGATATTTTTGCTTTCCTCTAAATTTGTCCATAAGCATAGAAAGATCAATGTTTGCATCAAAGCCAATATAAGCGTTATGTAGTGGCGTCGTCGTAGGTGAATCCTTCGGACTGATTTGTCTCGCGAGTGTGTGTCAGTATTGTTAATGAGGGCTATATAATAAATAATCTTCCGCTCACCAGATGACACTGAGGCGAAGTTTTTTGTTACACAATGTCATTTAATTGAGAAGTTAGTTTTACATAAATGTGTATCAGTTTCTAGAGTATTATATTAATACACAAAACAATGCCTCAGTAATTTACTCTATGACATTTGCACATTTTTAACCCTTTTTTTTTATTTGTCTACTTTTATGCATATCTGTGGTTTGTTTATTCATTTTTAATGTAATGAATATAAAATATAACTAATAGTCATTGAGTTATAATGTACTATGTACGTACATACGTATATAGCATGGGAAAAATACATATGATTCAATTGTCCGGTTAAATGTGACGATTACGACAAATCCTGCAGCTCGTGTACACCCTCAATCAACTTCAAATGATGATGGAGCAAAAAAATCATCTGGAGCACCCTTAATAATGGGCGTGCCCCTAGGAACGACACTGGGACCATTGCTCTTCCTTATATATGACATTTTTGTACGCTAAGAACTTATATAATGTTAACATTCACAGGGTAAGAAAAAAATATTCTAAAATTATCATATTTTATATTTCAGCTTTATTTGCAATCGAATAACCTGTCAGAACTTGATACACGATTCTTGCCACGATGGGATCTTCTAGATGCAATCGATGTGTCTAATAACCCGTTCCTCTGCGACTGTTCTACGCAGTGGATGGTGGATATATTAGTGCCGATAATCGAAGCTAAAACTGCAAACTCTACGGCCAACATGATGTAAGTGTTTTGATAATTTATTGACATGAGGAAAATGAGGAAATTCGATTCAGGACGGTCGAGGGCCAGTTAAACCCCTTACGGACATTTATGATACCCATGAGGTGAAATAATGAGTATGCATCTACAACTACTATCTTTAATAACTTTTGTATTTTTATGGAATTTTAGTGCGACTAAATATTTGAAAGTCTTTGCGTAAGGGGACAGATAGAGTATACATAATCAGTTTGTTACGGCCTACGGCTGCTCCCACAAAGAGTCAAATCCTCTGGGGCCCATTCAGCAGAGTTTCAACGAACAGACGTAGGCCTCCTAAGGCCAAAGTGGAAAATCTCTAATTACAATAAACAATAAGGGGGAGCGTTCTATACTACTGCCATTCAACAAGGAGAATGTTAAACCGAGCTTACTTACCTATATCCAAGGCGACTGGTCCCTCAGGATTCGGTCAGGTCGCATGTGGTTGTGTAGTGCAAGGGAAATAAGGTGATGTGATGTGTATCTGGGTGTGACTGGTGGTGATTTACCTTATTAGACCTTTGCCGTCGGCAGCAGCCCGGACGTCAGCACCGCTCCAAATTGAGGTAATCTTCCGCGACGCCGTCCACAGTCACTTTCTTCGTTCGTCACGATGACAGTCCATTAACTCTATCGTACGATTAACACTAACACTAACAGAAGCCACTAACTCTCGTTTGTTATAAAGCTTAACACACAAAACGAACACGGAGTGTCCGGATCAAAGGTCACTACCGTTTCGCGTGGCAACAGTTATTTCTAGAATATCAAATGCCGCACTAGCTAATATTGTCGAATGCACTTATACAGATTATGAGTCAAACACAATAAGTCCCGGGAAAGGCTATCCAACAAGGAATGCGCGTTACAAATCCTAGACAGTATATTTACTAGACGCTTATACAGTTCCGCGTTTCCCGCATAAAAATTGACAGCTTGCTGACGTTAGCACAGCTGGCAGACGACTCCGCCTTTTCGCTCGCGACCCGCGCGCCCTTGCCACGCTCGGCCGAACTTCAACCGGTATCACGCCGAGCCGAGTGCTATCTGGCGTCGATTCTTGACATTAGAGCTTGGCGCGAACAAATCTTGCTAATGTATACTCTAAGTTTTTTTATAGAATAAGGGTGACAAACGAGCACACAGTTCAGAGATGGTAAGTGGTTGCTATGGCCCATAGACATCTACGTCTATCTTCGTTTGCGAATTAAAATGCAGATGTGTTGTCAGCCGAGAGGACTAAGACAGAATGCCTCTTTTCCAGTAAAAAGGGTCTCCGGTTTTCTACACTCACCATACTAAACACAGCAGCATTAAGCTGCTATTTTACGCTGGTATTCTGTGAGAGCGTGGTCCTTCCCCGGTCGAGCCGACCCATTCGTGCTACAACTATACTATTAATATAGCTACAACATGGCTCTACCACGTATAAAAGAAGTACCACGTATAAGTAAAAGAAATATAAAAAATATATCCAATTATCTCATTTTATCTACATCAAGTTTGCTATTTTTCTTTACAACATTTCTATGTTTGTAGCTGCAATGAACCAATCGAAATGAAAGGTTATACGATGAAGCATTTGCACGACATCCACCGCACTATGCGTTGCGTCGACAAATACGGTCACAGACCAGAGAAAGATGGAGCCATGCTACTTGGTACACTTATCGGTATGTATAAATATTTATAATAATTTAAGGAAAAATTAAAAATAACCAATAAAAATTAAAAAGAGTTGTAAATTAGTTCTTTTAGTAGTTACTTAATAATTTTACACATGCCTACGTCTTCGGTTAAGTATCAAAATGCAGATGAGACGTCACCCCTGGGGGGTAAAATCGTTCGTGTTTTCACTCTGTGAGAGTGAATTTACGGTTCTAGCAGAAATCCAGGCTACGCCGACAAACAATAAACAAACTCTTCGTTTCTTGTTGCTAATCCTAATTTCTACATTAGGTTCGGTAACGCATTGACTAAAGCCTCGGTCACGTATACGAGTGCCTAATCGCAGCGTGAACTCGCTGTATGTGACATGCTATTCGTTGCGAATAGATTAATTCGCCGTAAATTGGATTCGCCGCGATTTGGATTGAACATGTTCAATTTTACTCTCCGCGAATGTACGTGTTATAGGCCGCGTGCCCAATTTCTGCATGGAACAAATTAATATTTGTACGTTAAAAATTAAAACACCAAGAGAGAAATTCCCACTATGGATGTTACTTTTTTAAATATTCCTACAATAATAAAAAAAAATTAATATTAAATTTCAGGAGTACTTCTGGCAGTACCCATAATGTTAACTCTGATGCTGTTGTGGCGACACGGCTACTTCGCATGGGCCGGTTTCCGTGGTCCAGTCGATGTTTCCCGCGCTTTCTACAAACGCGCGCCTGCTGAAGATATCTAAATGGAGAGCGCAATTTCGAACATCAAATAAGCCAATTTTACACTGTAAAAAAAACCAATTAAATAATAAAACAATTGTAATTGAATAGATTGTATGGTAGTTCTTTTCCCTTTTGCCTCAAAGTTAAAATGGAATACTGGAAGCGTCTAGCGTCTACGACAAATGTTTGCGTGTTCATACGCATACAACATGCAACACGCATGCAACATAAAGTTTAGTTCATAGGTGTTATGTTAACTTAATAAAATAGGTATCCTATCATAAACTTTCAATATTCAAATCGATCGAAGCCTTTAAAAGATTCTAAAAATTTTTAGTGCGATGCATAAATTAAATTAGGTATGTATTTATACCTATACCTACTTATTCAAAATTTTGATATTATTTATTGTCATTTACTTGAATTGTCATAGCCTCGGTATGGAATTGATTCAAAACCTCTATTTTATTGAATTCTAGTTTAAAATTTCCATTAACCCTTAATTTCATAGTGATGGAAATTTCCATCGTTAAGAATTTTTGTCTTTATTTTTAGTCTGTGATCCGAATGAATTTATTTACGGACATGTATATGAACATCGATGTTTAGGCAACATTTTTGAACGAAAAAAAAACTGTCAATGTCAACTGTCATGGTCAATCATCTGTTCAAGTGAAACGATAACTACTTGTGTTTTGTGGTGTTTCTGATTGTTATTTTGTGAACTTATACGAACAAGTAATTATTGAAAAAATTATTATTTCATAAAATAAGGTAAGTTTTCAATACCTAGGCAATTTGTTTTAGAAGAATCATAGTTTTTAGTTGTATTCTGGGTCTTTTTGTTTATGATGGAAATTTCCATCAATATGCATTAGTCGTAGTTCTCGATGTATGGAAACCTAACTTTTCAGCATAATTATTCTTTTATAGTTTATCTCAAGTTTATAATGATTTTTATGTAATATTTCAGCAAAAATGTCTTTTCCAAGATCAAGAATAATCAATGATAGAGACATTGAAGAGTACTTGTCTGCTCTGGAAGGAGGATATCTGTCAGAAGATGGCATGGAAATGTCTGATACGGAAGATAATGAGGAAAGTATCTTTTACACCAATAGAAATGAACCGCTGCAAGACGTAGAGGATGATGATAATCTGGAAAATGAACCTACTTTACATGAAGAACAAGTTGATGTGCATGATCCCCCTCTGATTCAAGAAACTGTGGCATCTAAAGCAGGAGAAAACTCTGCTTGTTCGACTTGGGTGTTAGACAAGAGGAAGCTGATTTGGAAGAAGAGTACACTTCAGTTTTCTGAGTCAAATGTTGAATTTGAAGGAAGCACTGATCTAGGTACTGAAATAACAGCCCTAAAAACACCATATCAATGCTTTAACTACTTTTTTACAACTGAACTTTGTAACAAAATAATATCAGAAACTAATCTATATGCCACCCAATTAAATCCTGAAAATAGATTTAATTTGACCTGAAAAAGTTTTTAGGCATTCTGCTTTACATGTCTGTTCAGCATTTCCCCAGCACACGCAAGTACTGGTCAAGGCGTTTTGGATTTGAACCTATAAAGCAAACTATGAATGTGAATACATTTGAAAAGATCAAAAAATATATCCATTTCAATGATAATGACAAATATATACCAGTTAACCAACCAGGACATGACCGCTTATATAAGGTGAGACCAATTATTGATAGTCTAAATCAAACCTTTTCCAGTGTAAAAAAACATCAAAGACTATCAATTGATGAACAAATGTGTGCCACCAAAGTGGGACATTATCTAAAACAATATCTACCAAATAAGCCCCATAAGTGGGGATTTAAGTTGTATGTTTTATGTAGTGTTTTTGGATTTGCCTACAAATTTGAAATTTATTCTGGCCAAGACATTTCGACAAGACCTGAAGGTGAGCCTGACTTAGGTTCTACAAATAACATTGTGCTTCGCTTAACCAGAGATGTTCCACGAATGGTCAACCATATTATCTTCTTTGATAATTTCTATACATCTGTGCCATTAGTTATCTATTTGGCTAAGCAAGGAATACATTGCCTTGGCACAATTCAACAAAACAGAATTCCTAATAACAAGCTACCAGACAAAAAAGAGATGATGAAAAAAAATACCCCTAGGGGTACTTATGAAGAAAGAACAGCGTCATATGAGGGAGTTGATTTAGCTTGCATAGCATGGAAGGACAATAAAATAGTGACTATGTTATAAAGTTACGTAGGAACAGAGCCTGTTTCAACCGTCAAAAGGTTTGATAAAAAGACGAGGGAAAGAGTTGATATATTGTGTCCAAAGTCCATTACAGAATATAACAGTCATATGGGGGGTGTTGACTTGTTAGATAGTTTCTTGGGTAGATATCACATAAGAGTAAAATCTCGTAAATGGTATATTCGTATATTTTTCCATTTGTTTGATCTGGCTGTTATCAACTCCTGGATTATATATAAAAATAATGCAATAAAAGAAAATGTTGCAAAAAAGAACATTTTAAACTTAGGTGAGTTCAGAAACGAGCTGGCCTATGTTTTATGTAACTCAGGCACAAACGAAAATAAAAGAGGTCGGCCTAGCTCTTCCAGCCTGGAGCAGGAGTTGCAAGCTAAGAAGAAGAGGTTACAATCAAAACCAATCCCTCCATTGGATATACGGATGGATGGTCTAGGGCACTGGCCAGATGTTGGTGTGTCGCTTCGTTGTAAGTATCCACATTGTACAGGATACACCACCATAAGCTGTGCCAAATGTGGCATAAATTTATGCCTAAACAAAAATAATAACTGTTTTACTAGGTTTCACACTACCTAATATCAAATATGGCAATTACCTATAGGTATATTAACTGTAAGTGCATAGTGATGGAAAAATCCATCGCATGATATATAATATATTATATGAAAAAATAAATTACTACAACTATTTTAACATTTTTTTATATATAAAGAAACTTTTTCTGCATCATGCATAATTTTTTTATTTTTAAATTCATAATCATAAATATTCTATGCATTTAAGGGTTAAGTTTATTCTGTGGTGTAATGAAACCATGAATGATTTGCGTGTCAATATAATATGGGCGATTCACTAAACTATAATTACCTACTTAATATTTTAGTGATTTAAGATATTTTTTCTAAGGTAGGTATATATTAAGCAACATTTTTATTTTATATCATTAGAACTAATTTTATAACAATTTTAAATAAAGGTTTTATTAAACTATAGCTTTCGTTATTTATTTTTATAAATTATTAGCTGGTAGGGTCGTTGCGCCGGTAAGGCGGCCGGGTCTAGTTTTCGGCCTTTGGCATCAGGTGATGCAGTTAACGATTTTAATAAATATTATCGTACAAAATTAATTTTAATGCATTTGTAAATAGTTGCATTATATATTGCAACATTACTTCATCGGGTAAACACAACACGCGATTTATAATAAATAGTTCAGTTCGACGCCGGCACAGGAGCTGTCAAAAAGTGTAAGATCGTGCAAAAAAAATAGTGGCGCGCGTTTCACTCAAAAGTAAATTAAACGCTGTATTTACAATGATTATTTAATATTGTGCTCATACTTCACTGAATAAATAACTTAATTTTACATTTTCACATAGATTACTATAATATTTTATTGTGAAAGTTAATAAATTAGGTGGCCGGAAAGTGACACATAAAATTTTCCTATTATTTGGTTATCGGCCATGTGGCCGGAAAGTAGCCCGAGTTTAGCCTAAAAACTTTGTCTCTTTCATTTATTTGGTTACCTACTATTAGTCTTCTTTCTTATTTGTAATGAATTGTATCCTTGCGAAGACACTTGCTTTCAGTTTTCGGCCACCAAGTACCGCAATTGGAATGGTTAGTGACGAAACTAAAATACCCATTTTAGTTGTTGCCGAAAACTAGATTGAGTCTAAAATTATTATTTAGTTTTCGGCTAACTTTAAATTGTATGAAAGAACAGGGAAGCCGAAAATTGAATACTGATTTGGTTGAAGGACATTTCATGAAATATTTCGTTCACGTTGCGTTTTAGGAAGTAGATTCAATAAGACATTATTTTCTTCAGATGGCTCCTCCAAAGAAAAATCCTCCAAAGAAATATAATTAGTAAATGGTTTCAGAAAATGTGGACTTGAAATGAATTTGATCACAACTTGGATTATTCAAAATGTGTCCGGAATACCCCGGAAATACTAATTAGTGAAAATTCAGACACCAGAAAAAATATATTTCTAAAGAAATAACTAACGCAGACCTAGTTTCTACAAGAAAAGTTTTGAAACATTTAAAATCAAATCTGGCATAAAAAAATCATGGCTATGTTCTAGTAACTATGGATTCATCTACCGATGCATTAGAATCGTTTATCGATAACAACATTTCAACATTACATTTGTCAGGAAGTTATTTGGATATCGGTTCCTTAGTATCGTTAGATGATGTTCTTGTAATCCCAACTCAAATAAGCCTACCAATGACAACAGTACTGACAATGCCGGAAATGGTAATAGATTCCAGTAATGCAATAATAACGACTCAAAATAGTACAATGGCCACGATGATACCACCACCACTAACACCGATGATAACAAACAACGCCTTTGAAACTTTAGAAAATGTGCTGGTTTCTATTCCAATAAAACAGACTAGTACACCTCTACGAACTAGTGAAACATCGGCTTCAGTACTATTAAATAAAGAACACAGAGATTCGATAGAAAAAACATTTATCTAAATCGGAACTCGTAAAAAATCAACCATTAACAGTACATATACACCTTCTTCTGTTGCAATTTGATATGCAGAGTGGCGAAAACTTTATAAAGATAAAGAGAAAGTTAAAATAGAGAAGTTAGAACTAAGTTATAAAAGATATGATATTTTAAAAAAGAAAAGAATATAAAAAGAAAAGTTAAACAGTGCTAAAGTTCAAAAACGAAAAATCGCAAAATCCAAGAATTCCATGAAGGAAAATGAAAGAG